TTGAGATCAACTATAACCGAGAATATAGTCGCTATAATCACCTGAAATTATAAATGTTTGATATTTACGGGGGAATCCCTGTCATGGTATAATTGAGTGATGCATCACCAGTTCCAGAAACTAAATTTTTTGGGGCTTTTGGTTAGCTCAAATTTCACGGCATCGTCGATGATTCGGAAAGGTAGTGATATAGGGAAGTGAAGATAATGGTAAACCATTGTTGTGATGTGTATTTTTCTGCAGTGTAATGATATCATGATCTGGACTTCGATAATTAATATGCAATTGCTTTTCTTACTGCTTCATTTGAATGTATCTCGAATTTTCAACAACTCATCTCTTTCGATCTGGCCCTTGGATTGCGTTTGTAATCCCGCATAATCCTAACAAGATATTGGATTAAATACAAACTTTTAATGACTGCTTATCTATCGTGAAAAGGTTGAGGGAAACAGGTTCGATGGGCAGAAATTTCGTGATTTCAAAGTGATCAAGGAAGCACAGTTATTAACATCAAAATTTTATGAAAACAAGATTAAAAATCAAAGCCCCCTTTGTATTTTGTCCTCCCTCCTTTCTGAAAAGCGAAAGTACTCTAAAATTGCAAATTCCCACATCAATCACCTGCTGGCAAAGCTTCGATGGCTTCCTTTTCCAAGAGCTGCTTACAAAAAAAGCTGACAAATGCCTGTACCAAATTATCATTGAAAAAATGAGTAAATCCTAGAAGAAATTGTTCGCCTACTGATAAATTCAGACCTCTTCATATTACATGACCCATAAGTTTTTTTGTAATTCAGACCGTCCAGTGTTAGTTAGAAATTTGCATACGAGAGGTTTTAGCTGCGTAATAAAATCTAAAATAAGTGAGAAAATTGAAAATAATGGATTAATAAACTTACTAAAATAAGCTCAAGTGGCAAAGGCACAGGCGATCGCTTCTTCACCCATGGATTAACATAATCGCGTCCAACTGACAGAAAAATTATAGCAAATATAGATAAGCCGAGGGCACAGTAGTTAGTCTGTGGAAAAGCTAGTATCAAATCACGGACCATCTGCAAATTTTATAGCTTTTATCAATTTCAATTCAGAATATAATTTTCAAAATTTGAAAAATTATGCGAAAGTTTGAAAACCTTTGTGTTTGCATAACCAAATACTAAAGTATTTAATGAAAAATGAAATAATCTGTAAGTATCCGTACAAAGACTGGCGGTTAAAAAGTTATTAATGATGACATATGTAGAATAAAAATGTACTAAAAAATAATTGGAGTATCAAGAAATCTTCAGATTCATAAGTTGTACGTTATGTTCGCAAAAGTTAGAAGATCGCAAGGATGCGTTTTGAACGACCCTGTGAAATAATATGGATGAGAAAGGTC